GAAGAGGAGAAGTAGGAAAGAGGAGGAGGAAGAGGACATAGAGGAGGAGGGAGGAAGAAGAGGAGAAGGATGAGGAGGAAGATGATGAAAAGGAAGAGTAGGAGGAGGAAAAGGAAGAGTAGGGGGAGGAAAAAGAAGAGTAGGGGATAGAAAAGGATGAGGATGAGGAGGAAGAGGAGGAATAGAAGAAGGGAAATAAGTTGTGGAAGAATGGGAGTAAACAGAGCATGAAGAAATACTCCTAGAAAAATCAATGGATAAATCAAATGAAAAAAAAAAAAAAACAATCAAGGATAAAAAAAAATATGTATAATAGATAAACAAAGAATACAGAATAAAAACAGACTGAAAAAAAGGCACATTCCAATACACACAGATCATCATTCACCGCATTTCCTGTACCATGTCACGCACTTACCTAAATCGCACCACAGTCCTGCCAATCTGTTCTCCCTTAGCGACATGCGCAAATGCCACTTCTGCATCCTGGGCGGAATAGGCCTTGTCCACCACAGCCTGCAAGCGTCCTGCTTCAACAAGGGGTGCCACACTCTCCAGGACATGCCCACATACCTCTAGGGTGCCCCATCGCCCGCCTGTTAGCCATGGAGCCTGTGGGAAGTCATGTTAGGCAATACAGGATGTTATACTGGTATGATAATGATAATGCTGATAATAATGATAACAATAAATGTTACAATGATAATAATTAGGAAAATAATAATAGTATTAACACTAATGGCAATAAAAGAGAAAATAACAGTAACTATATTGGGCTATACCCTACAGTAAATATCAATAATAAAGACTCACGACATTATCACTATTCACCACCACTAACAGCTCATTCCTACCTTCGCAATTTACTAACCTGAGTGAACCAATAACGCAGCCTCATGCCAAGGGAGTACAGGGCCCCTGTCACATAACCATAAGAATCCGACGCAAGCTGAGATGACGTGGCAGTGACAACCAGTCCTCCGGGAACACAATGTTTCAAGCACGATTCATGTAGCACCTCACCTACAGTGTTTAAAATGACATCGTACCTGCCAAGTTCAGATCACAGAATAAATATCATTGCAATTTCCACTTTACACAAGAGTATTAACTCACTGGCACTGGGTAACTGCATTATCCCCTGTAGTTTTATTTTGTCAATATTTCTGTACTCATAAATGGCTCTGTAAATGCTTAGTCACCAAGGAGTCAAATTAGTAAGCTAAATAAGACCTCGCCTGATTTCACCATTCCTTGAATTTTTGGAGAATATTATTTTTTCTAATGCTATAAATATTGATAGTTATCAATTTCAGTGACACCATGATTATCATAATATTATTAACACTACTAATAGCAGTAAAATCATAAAACAGAATCTTTCCAAAAGTCAAGGAAGCAGGTAACTAATTCCCTGATGACTGTGCTTGTTGAGCCATCTATATGTAAACAAAATCATTTAGCTAAAATCAGTCATGGCACCCCAGTGTCAGTGGGTAAAAAGAAAAAGAAAAAGAAAAAAAAAAGAAAAAGAAAAAAAAAGAAGAAAAGAAAAGAAAAGAAAAAGAAAAAAGAAAGAAAAAAAAAAAAAAAAAAAAATATATATATATATATATATATATATATATATATATATATATATATATATATATATATATATATATATATATATATATATATATATATATATATAAGTAAGCATCAGTATGTATTAATGTAATTTATATTTTACACAAGTAGAGTATTTCGAAAAGGGGTAACTTGAACTCAATTAACCCACTGGCTGTGGGTATATCTACTGTCTACTGTAGTCTTCTAGCTCCACTAGTGCTCAGCCACCAAGGAGTCAATAAGAAGCCTTAAAGTGATATTACCTGATTTCATCATTCCTTGAATTTTCAGGAAAATCGTTTTTTCCCAATGCTACTGATAGTGATTGAAGCTTTAGTAATATAAGTATTTGTGGAGCCATCTGCATATAAACAAAATCAAGCCATCCCAGCACAACCAGCTAACCTCGCTTCCACTCAATGTAAACTTCACAAGTCCCAGAGCCTTACTTCTCTCTTAGCATTAGCTCCTTGTCGAAGTTTGAATTGTCATATGTGATGACGTCATCAGCACCAAGCATGTGGGCCAGAGGAGCAGCACGCGAAGACACCGTTGTTGTCACGTGGCCACCCCAAGCCCTCACTAACTGTATAGCCACGACACCAACACCTGACACACCGGCATGCACCAAAATCCTGTTGACAGTCATGGTTATGATTAGCTTATGATTAATGCATTTTCATGGTTTACTGCCATGGTTAATGTAATACTGAGTCTACTATTACATTTCATTTTAATTTTCACTATCATATTCAATATTTTATTCCTATTCAATTTTGTATTTGCCAAGTCAGTTGTTATCAAAAGGTTTCATCTGATCATAATACAAAAATAAGAAGCAGTGAAAAAGAAAGAGAAGTTTAAAGAAGGAAAGATAGAAAAGGGGAGCAATAGAGAAAAACAGCAAAAGAAAAATAGATGATAAATATTTAAAAAAAATGACAAAGGGAGAGGCAAGGTAAGCACACCCTCCCTCTATATGCCCCCATGGCTCACCTCTTGCCTGCAGTGGAGTCAGGTCCCAGGCCACCCTGTGTCACCAGGGCATCCCAGGCTGTCATAATACTGTAGGGCAAGGCGGCTGCCCCTTCGAAGGTCAGCTGTGAGGGTTTGGGGGCCACAAGGTCATCAGCCACAACAACATATTCACTTAAGGTCCCTGGGTGGTAGAAAGGGCAGGCCAACCAAACCTGCACCAGGTAAAAGAGGGTGATGCAAAATTTTGTAGTGAATACAGAGCATAATAATTAAATTGTTTTAAAAACTGTAACCAAAGATGAAGTTAATGCCATGTGAGTGAGAACATGATCTAAAGAGTTTTACAGGAACAATAAAATCAAAGCTGTCATTCAAAAACGAATCAAAACGATCTTCAGCCTCTTGTGCATGCCATACCTCATTCCCCTGTTCCACCTTGCTCACATTTTTCCCAACAGCAACAACAATCCCCGAGCAGTCTCTTCCCAACACAACCGGAAACTCTCCTTCTGTATTCTAGAGAAAAGAAGAGAAAGAATTATAGTGAAACATTTTTCATTTTCATTAACCCACTTACAACAGGTGTCCCATATATGAGATACCCGGTAAAGTAAGCATTGCTGGGTGTCCCGCCGGTGTGACACTAGATCAGAGCTTGCGCTCTGATTTTGTCCCCTGTGGCAGGCTGTGCGTGGACAGGTTCCCAGATTTGCCTGCGCACCGATTTTGAATCCGCCAGGAAAACATTATTTTTGGTTTGAAAATGTACCGTTGCTAGTGGGTTGACAATAAAAAAAAACAGAAAAATGGATATTATCATATAAACATAAATTATCATTGAAAAAAAAAAAAAAAAAAAAAAAAAAAAAAAAAAAAAAAAATATATATATATATATATATATAATATATATATATATATATATATATATATATATATATATATATATATATATATATATATATATATATTATTAGTATCTGAAATCACTTCAAAGCTTACCAAAATAACAGTCATATTTACTGGTGCATAAAAGATCCATTTCCAATCTCTAACATCCCCCCCCCACCTTCTCCCCTAAAACTCCCTCTCTCTTACTGGATTGTACTTATTGAGTTGCCGTCTGAGCACACGTCCGTATCCTTCTGCCACTTTGATGTCGAGGTAGTCGATCCCTGCCGCCTTCACCTGCACCAGCACTTGATTTGGCTGCACGATCCTAGGTGCCACCACATCCTCCACAACTCCAATAGCCTGTAGAAGGAGGAGGAGTGTAAGAAACATTGCAATAGAACTTGGATGTAAGAGAAGTCTTAATAGAAATTAGGTGTGGATGTGGAGATACGAAATTTTCTTTTTGGTTACTTGGAAATTCTATGAAGAGTACAATATTGTTGTGCCAGTTTGAACAAGTGGATGAGACTGAACTAGCGGACTAGACTGAACTTCTTGAATATTAATCGACAATCAGTATTAAGAGTGAATTCACCTGTGTGCATTTTATTTTTCAAATGTGCAAACTTGGTTTATGAATTTTGTGCTTGAGTATTACCATCTTTAGCATCATGAAAAAATAATTAATTAACTATTACTTCAATCTTTCAAAAGCTGGTGCATCAATATGTTATCAGTTGAATAACAATAGCAGACAAGAACATTTGCACAGAAAATAAAGTTCTTCCATATAATAGACATTTCCTTCCATATAGCTGCAATATTAGCTGTTACATTAGTTAGCAGCCAATCGTACAAACAAACACCAACACAGCAGTTAATTTCAATAGTGAAAGACCCTTAATTATGTGCCATCCTAGTTCTACTGCTCCTTTTCTGACAATACAAAATCCCCTTTTCCCCAAATGTAACAGCCTGACACATCAAATGTACAACTCTATATAGGAACATATAGCAAAACACATTATTCATTAAGCAAATGTAATAAAAAACAAGTAACTGCCCTTAAACAGAACACACTAAAAAGCATGAAAATAACTTTAGAAAAGAATGCAAATATGTAGCAGCATATTCTGAATGCAAACTCAAGAACAATACCAAACATTGCTCCAATCTTCAAGTTGCACAGGCTGGACACCAGCAACATTTCTGCTGGCAGAAAAAAGAAAAGAGCAACAAAAAAAGGAGGAGACAGAAGCAACAATGAGAAAGAAAAGAAAAACAGAGCTCTAGCCTCATGTAATTAAAATGGATTTTGGCCAAAACACGTGTGCATGCAAACTCCTCTTCACTCCACATGACTAAAGCAATGTCCTTCTGCTTCATCTGTTCCTCTTGTGTACTAATGACCTTCCACAATCTAAGGCTACTCTCTCTACTAGTGATGACTGTATACTCCTTCATTAAGTCCTACATCATTTACTGGAACACTGGGAGCAAATCTGGCATGTCTTTTACC